TATATATATATATGTATCTATATTCTTGCAGGCCGGAGCGATCCGGCTATGTAGGAATAGAGCGGCGCCAGAAAGCCACTTGCTGCCAGGATGCAGGTTGTGCTCTCATCTTGGTGTCGTTCGTCATCATGGTTTTCGTGGAAGGCGCGTCTGTGTGAACATGTCAATCCATGTGTCTGCAGGGTTTTTGTGCAGCATTCCGGAATTGCAAGGACTATAAAGACACGACAACATTCTTTGCTGTTGGTGCAGCTGCTGCATATTGAGCACAAATATCCACCCTACTCGAATCTATGGTATGCCTCGTAGCCCCAACTGTAGCCGAGGGTGTGGTGAGCTGAACGGTGCTGGACAAAAAATGCGCGCTGCAGGCGAGCATGGCAATGAGGAACGCCAACCTAGTACGCCAATCGATCTGCCCCAGCCCATGTTTCAGATCGATACCAACTATCGGGTGGCTTTGGCAGCAAGTGGAGTCAAGCTGATCCGGGGCTACACGCATGCTAAATTTTGAGGCAGTGGAGGTCAAGGTCAAGTGAGCCACGATTTGCAGCTAGAGGCTTTCTTTGAGATGTGTCCAGTCTTTTGCAACCGGTCCCTTCAATTCCTGCGAACTCTGTCTCACCGCTGGGGCAGCCGGGAAAGCATCGCTGAAGATCGGCTTGTGTACACCTGAGCCCAGGAAATGTACCATCGCTGGCGGCAAGGTCGGCGATCACACAGGGTATTGTAAGATGCAAAAGCCGTGCGCATCTGGCAAATATCAAGTTCAAGATCATGTGCGTGACAGGCGAGACCAGAGGCGCGAAAGATGCGTGCCTCATCCAAAACAATCGTAGCGACAGAGTAGGTTGCGTTTAGGTTGAGGTGGCTGATGAAGGCTTCGCTAGGCGCTGAGTGCAGCTGAGGCCGATGTTGAACGCCCTCCGCACGACCATGTTTGGATATTCTGCCATGGAGACTGGCAGTACCTGGAGCGGGTTCTGGAAGACTTAACTTTCAACTAGCATTCTTATTCAAACGCACGTCACGACCATCTGAAGAGTGACCATCATAGTTTGCAAGCCCAAGCGACGATCAAAGAGCATCACAGACCAATGTTGCGATCGAGGCCTTGCACGCTTGAGTGAGTACCAGACTCCACTCCAAGAGGGTATGCCTAGACCCAGGCGAAGCAAAACCAATTCCCTTGCATCTTCCACACTTTAGGGTATAAGAATAATAACAATCCAGCTAGATCCAGCTAGTACTTTCGTAATTTTAGTTCCCGCCCAAACCTAAGTATAGCAGCAATGATAGCAATCTCCGAACAAAAGAAGACTCACATAGCGCTATAGTCATATTATCCACCCCACAAACATGTGATTATAAGCATCCTCTAAGCGAGCCAAAGCAACCTGAACCCTAAACCCTAAACCCTAAATTGGTCATTTCTGGAACCCTAAACCAAAAAAACCTTAAACCTCTATGCCAAGGCAACCTGAAGGCTGTGGGAGGCTTTGCCCTTGGCCCGGTGCCTCCAAAGCCCCGTGCGGGCTCGGCGACGGCGTCCGCCTTCCTGGATGACAGGCTTTCAGGGCATATGGGGTGTCATGGGGTTATACGAAGGTAGAAGAGGTTTTTCAAGGGTTATAGATAGATATGTAGTGTATTAATGTATGGGCAATTAGGGCTATATGCGTGTGTATGTAGGGGTATGTAGTCGGTCGTGCGAAGCCTGCAATTGGGCTGTAGCATCTAGGGTGACGACTTCTATGCCTACGCGCTCATTATGTTGGAGCCAGCATTTCTGAGTGTATGCTGCTGGGCTCTGCTACACAGTGCTCTGGCAAAAGGCCTTGCGTTTGAGAGCATCCAGCCTCAGACATGTTGCCAGTGCACGTTCTTGAAGGCACCACGTCTACATGCCACGGAATGCCAGCGAGCCCAACATGGTGCGGGCCTCGTGAACCACGGGATTCAAGTTGGAACATCATCTGGAAGATGGGTGGGAGAGCAGCAGTGCTCAGACTGTTGAATCCATGCTTGCGGGAACGGCTTGCGGGAATAGGCAGCAGGCAGTGGAACTCAAGAAATGCTGATTAACATTGTCTGGGCAATCGTCAGCTTTCTCGGTGGCAGCATGAGCTGCTTGGATTTTCACATGAAGCCATACCAGGTTGATTTCAAGAGTTGATCAGGAATACTGTTGATGGATGAAATCTTGCACCATGCAGGGGCCCTAAACTACGATAATTCTTAGGACTTTAAGGACTTGGGGTGGTGCAAGATTTCCTCTATCAACAGTAGCATACAAACGTCGGAAACAATTGCGTGAAGAATATCATACTGTGGTAGGTTGGCCGAGCGCCCAGAAACCTGATGTGGCAAACTTGGTGATTGTAAACGCCTCATTTTCAGGCTTAAGCTATCTTTCCGAATCTGAGGCGACCTCGAGTGGCAGCGGCGACATCGTGTCCCTAGAGAGCGTGCCATCAGGCGGCGGGAATTGCTTGTTGAAGTTTTGGCGTTGCTTTTGCTTGGGCAACTTGTGCTGTTTGAAGATGACCTGGTATGAACTGGTGCAGGCGCCTCCACGCCGATTGGCGGCCGGCCTCGGATGGCCAAACTCCTCGGCGTGGCCCTTGCCCTGTTTGCCGGCGCTCTTGCAGGTGTACAGAGCGCCCCTTGGACAAAGCTCTTGGTCGGTCTGCGGTCAGAGCTGACCAAGCCTGCACGTTGTGGCATCAGTTTTCGCTAAGGTGCCAGCAGCCATCTACAATCAACGGCACCCAAATGCACGCCCCACGGTGGTCGTGTTTCCGCAGTGCCTGGGGAGACTCGGCCAGAAGCAGTTCTGGAGAGTTTTCTCCTGCACCTCACTGCGCTACAAGGGGTCCGGTGAGTACAATCCTTGTTATATGGACCCACCCAAAAGGATACCCCTGATTTGGGAAACCGAGGATCTATATCTGTTCCAGCTTTATTTACCTGGCTTATGCGGCTGTTGCCCGCGCATCGGGCTGGTCGATCCCTCACTCGGCAGCATGGCCGCAGGACGTCGAAGGATAGATTACTAAAATCCACTGGGTAGTTCCCAAAGTTAGCGTCCCATTTTGGTACACCTAACAATTTAGGGGCCGCAATATAATCTGCAAACAAAAGGATAACTTTAGGAACTACCTCACTAAACTTCCTCCATGGGCATCTCTCAAAACACGGGCCCTTAATAGATTTGACCATAAGAGGATTATCGGGGGGGGAATGTAGAAGGATCATGATGTCGAGAAGGCACTCTTTTTTTTGGGCGATGAGGCCTGGGTTCCGTGGATGCAGGCCACGAAAGAAGGACGAAGAGTAGGATAGCAGGGAAGAAAGACACAGAGAGGGCAAGAAAGCAAGAACAGCAGATTGAAAGATACACATGGACATACAAAAAAGAGGACAGAAAGGGCCGTAGAAAGAAAGGACGAAAGAGAGCAAGGAAGAAAGACAGACTGACAAATAGAAACAAAGAAAGAACGAAACCAACACAACGTAACATTCGTAGTTATCATAGTAACATATAGTAACGAAAGAAAGACAGGAACACAGAAATTGAGCAAAGAGAGAAAGCAAGAACGAAAGGAATGATCAATGACGGAAAGAAGGACTCGAAAGAAAGAAATACACACAGAAGATTATTCGTACTTACTAATATTAGAAATATTGTTATTGCTACTGGTGGTAGTTTACAACTCTTACTTCTGCAGCTGGTGTTACTTTACTATTGTTAATGTTTTTGCTCTCACTGCCAGTATTACTTTTATGATTATGGTTGAAGTTTCTTCTAATCATATGCCATTATTTTATAATCATTACTTTTGTAGTTCAAGTTCTTTTATCACAGCCTATCATTCTTCATCATGTTTCACAATGATTCATCATGTTTCATCATCTCTCATCATAGTTCATCATTTTCATTCTTGCATAATCACTCATCATGTTCCATGGTTTTTGTCAGTTTTCATGATACATCATCTTTCTGGTTCCATTGCATTTTGATTTTCGTCCATGGCTTACCGCCATTTTGTCATTACATTTTATCATGCCCATCGCATCTCATCACCATTATCATTGTTCATGATGGTTCAACATTTTCTATCATTCTTGGTGACTTTCATTGCTATTGCCATTCTTCATCACTAGCTTCATATACCATGCATTTGTTTCATTGTCCATTGTTTTCATGATTTGCATCATGTTCCATTCCTGTCCATCATTGTCCATCATTTTCCATGATTTGCACCCCCCCCTCCCCCCAAACATATTCTCTCAGCTAAATCATTTTCGTGATTGTTCATCATATCTCTACACGTTTTATCAAACGCTATCAAATTCAAGATCTGCCCAGAACATCGTCACTTCTAGCATTTTGCGTCATATTTTATCACCTTTAGTCATGTGTCCTCATGTTCGTCTTGTTTGTATCAAGTCTCATGATTTCAATCACGTTTTTAGTTTTTCATGCCAGTCTTCATGTCATCATATTTCAGCATGTTTCATCGTGTTTCATCGTGTTTCATCATATTTCATCAGATTTCATCACATTTCGTCATCTTCCATGAATTTTCATGACCTTCAGCAGTTTTTTACCATTTCCGTGATTTTCCAACCGTCTTCGTGATGTTTTATCACCTTTCATCAACTTTTATCTGTTCCTCACTTTTCATGATTTGCCCCACATTACATCATGGCCAGCATTGTGCATCACATTGCAACATATGAAACACTTGTCATCCACCCCCGCCCATTCCCCCCTCCCCTTTTCCCCCCCCCTTTCCCCCCGACCCCTTCCCCCGGTGCCCGCACCAACAAAAACAGACCCAAACAAACGAAAAGGATCCCCCCAAAGTCTCCACCCTCGAGTAACTCCCACTTTTTGATCGGTTGAGCCCTGAGGCGATCCGGCCTCCCTACTTCAGCGGCTGCATTTGGGCCGTCGGATTTTCCTTCATGATTGTGGCCTGGCAAAGGAAGCAGTGTCTGACCTTTAGGGTTATATGGGTCTATATAGGGTTTATATAGGCTTCTACAGGGTTTATATAGGGTTATATGGGGTTTTTAGGGTTTAGGCCTGCCTGGTGATGAGCTGCTTCAAAATGCAGAATAGCGCACAGACTTTGCAAAAGAGCTGTTACTAGATTCCGCATCAACAGGCTTTGCAAGAAGCGTTGCCCGACTCCCCAAGGTTGGGATTTCAGCCCTTGGCTACTTGGAATGATTTACGAGAAGCTTACAACTTGATGCCTTAGCAGGTTTTTGGGCAAATGCAGGTTGCGGGGCTGAGAACCTTGTCGCTGTCAACATGCAGCGTTCTGTATTGCTGACAACTCTGCTGCATTCAAAACGAAGCAACTTTGATCCTCAGGTTTCTCTATAGGATACACGCTGGATGCTGTGGGGCCGATCGTGGTGGCGAGCATGCTGTCGATTTTCGTGTTCCTGGCCAGAAGTAAAGATCAGAATAAGATACAAGAAGCCTTTCTTGTTCCTGTGCCGTGTATCTGAATGACTGAGTGCTGAGGTTCAAGGAGATCTCCGGGCCGAGGCAGCTGCTTCTGCACGGAACTGAGATTCCTTCGTAAAGCACTGGAATTGAGCTGCAAACAAGATGTGTCGAAAAACACAAAAGGGCATCTTGCATCGTCGCCTTTCAGTAGGCTTATTGTGCCCTTCGTTTTTTGGCCCTCCAATTTCCAGCTGCTTAAAAGCCAAGTTGAGCAGACAAAGGTACTGGTTGTCATTCGGGCTGCAATTCATCGGCGTGGTGCTGATGACTGTCTACGGCAAGCATGACAGCTGAGCAGCGCTGAAATGGGCTGGCGCTGATTGGAATGCTCGAGAGGTTGTGCAAGCAGACTTGTTTCTGATTGTCGTACTGCTTCTTCAGAGATGTTGGCACTCTGCGCTTCCCATCGATTTTGTCGATGATCTCCCTTTGAATGAGGTGACGGCTGCACCCTGTGCACAAAGCCGTTCAATTGAAATGCTGGCAGTCTCACAGGGCTAGCTCTGAGACAGCGGCAACATTTAAGCACTGAACAACTCTTTTACTGCATGACCTTAGTGCTGAGCACAGATTAGCTGAGCTCAGCACGTCCCAAGGGGGATAAAGACTCTGCACTTCTGAACCCGTTGCTTGGAGAAAGCTGGTCGCAAGGCAGGTTGTGCATGGCCGAGTTGGTATCATGATGGTACAGGAAAATCCTGGGTTGCTGTTAAGGAACTTTAGCTAACTTGCTATGATTAGAAAATCCCTTTATTTACTATTTACCCGTAACATGGTAACTTAATGAAAACATCTCCTTAACAGCCTTATATCATCCCTATAGAATCCCGAAAGGCTCTAAACCCTAAACCCTAAGCCCCGTTGAAGAATGAGCTTCGCTTCTCTGTGTGCATTGGGTTGTTGGAAGGCCGTGGCCGGACACCTGGAGGCTCGGCACGGCTGAGACAATGTCGGGTTTCTATGGGGACTCTATAGGGAAATTAGGGATGCATAGAAATATATAGGGATATATGGATATATAGGGATATAGGGTGTATGGGGGGTTCAGGTGCCTAAAGGCAGTACCAGAAGTCCCTGTGCCAGGGCCAAGCCGCTTTGCCCCGGAGTTCGGGAAGATCCTTGGCCCATCTCCCGCGCGCCCAGCGCCGCTGGCACTTCTCAAGCATCCAGCGCCTGGCTTGCAAATGGTAGCTTAGGGATTAGGGTGTAGGGGTTTCTAGGGTTTATATTGGAATGATGGAGAACCACATGGAAAATCGAATGGAAAATGAAATGGAAGCTACTCTCTATAGGTGATATATGGATTCCTGTGTCGTTTCCCTAAATAGCGAGACCCCAATATAGACTCCAAACTACTAGAATTATCCTGATTATAGGGACCTGTAATTTTGGGCACTCTAAACCCAAACCCTTTAAATCCTTACAATATCCCTGCAAAACCAATTTATCCCCCTTAAAGGTAACCCAATTTTTGGGAGCTCCCCAAAGTACTGGCCTTTCTTTCACATATCATCAACTTGAAGATTGACTCCAGGTTTCCGGTGCTTCCACAGAGGACACCAGAATTGGGGTCATATTGGGGTTGTGTAGGGGTTATATTGGGGATATATTGGGATAATGGACAAGAAAATGGAAGCTACTTTTAGGGTTTAGGGTTTAGGGTTTAATGTTAAGTTACCATATTATGGGTATATAGTAAATAACGGGGTTTCCTGATCCTAGAATTGTGTGTGGCTTCCTGTGGTCGGTTTTGCATTCTGCCCAGGAGCTGATTGATCAGACTGTCGAGATCATCGAAGCCTTCGTGGTGCCAGAGCATGTTGTTCCCAGGAGTAGGATCTTAGTATGTCATATGCATGTGGGACGCTGATGACTCATGCTACCCAGTGGTGGTGCGCAGGTTGCTTAGGAGAGCAGCGCACCGGCTTCAGTGAACTTCGGCCCAACCTTTTCGCCATCCTGTGCATGTAGCATCCGACTCAAGTGCTAGCAGAAGTGGGTCGGTGTCTGGCATCCTCGCGAAACACAGATGGTAGGAACAGATCGCGCTCTTATGAAACTGCTGAACCAGTTGACGTGACTTAAAGCTGTGATGCCACTTATAATCCCCTATATAAAGTTTATATAACTGTATATCTCTATGCTCATCCCTATATATAACCTTATATATCCTCCATATAACCCCAATAATATTTGAAAGGCCTTGAGAGTAGCAACTTAGCATCGCCAACTGACACGGCCATGGCTGACTGCCTTCCCAGCCATGGCTACCTGCCGCAGATGGAAGGCCTTTTCGAGATTGTTGACTTTTCACATGGGGGAGATTTTGATGGGAAACTTCCAGAGTGTTGAAGAAGCGGCCATCTTGGAGACATGAATTGCGGCACATGCAAGCTTCCAAACTCGTTGACAGCCGTGCAATATACAGCTTGTATAGGATTTGATACGATTACAAGACCGGTGAGATCTGGTTGCTCCCTTGCCGATTTTTTCGTCTTCTTGTTTACATCTTGTTCTGCTTATTATCTTACTTGTAGCTATCCTGTTTCAGCTGCTTCGTAAGTCATAATCACAAATCGGAGACTTTGCATTCTGCAGTAACTTCTGTTGCGTTGCGATTAGGACCTGCAAGCAACTTCTCCCGAAGAAACTACCTTCAGGGGACACAGCCTCCTCTGGTCTACAGATTTCCATTGTTTCTGGCAAGGAGTCATCCTTCAGTTTGAGATGTTTTAGTTTAGCAGCTGCTGTTCGGAAGTGTGGCATTGCGGTTGTGCAGGCCTGAGCCCACCAAAGAGAATTCACACGTCCTCTGAGTTGGCTCGACCGGGATATTCATCAGTGTCCAAGGACACGCACGGAAGTGTCCAAACTGGAGCCGAAATCTTTGTGGTCTTTCACACAGCAATGGCATGCAAAGACCAAACATGAAGCAGTAGGCCTATGCTTTTGAGCCTGGAGGATGAGTTCGAGGATGATGCGGAGTCATTGCGGGCCAAAGTACGTCTCCTCGTGAAGCTTCTGAAGACTTCCAGCGCCGTCGTGGCTTATACTGGTTCCTCCGCACAAACTGGTCGGCAGATGTGGGTAGTTCAGAGGGTAGTGTCAATCGTGTCAGGGCACCGCCGTTGAGATATGCTGGTTAGAGGATGACAGTAATTGTCATCAATATCTTTAACCCGCTTTTAGCACGGCAGAGGTGCTGGAATCTCGACAGCCGCTGGGGTATTGGATTATGCGACGGCTGCCGATTCCCAAATGGCAGTCAAGACGCCTGGCGATGTGTCCGGCTGAGTGGGAATGGAGTAGTCCGTCACGACGTTCTTGCTTCCACCAGGTCTTAGCTGAGTTTGGCAAGTGGCCGAGGCGGATCCAGCAAGCGCTGATGGATCACCACCGAAGCTTCGATCGCCGTACGAGGCGGTGACGTGTTGTGCAGAGAACTGAGCAGGGAATGTCTGGAAAAGACATGGCCCGGAACAACTCACAAACGGTACGTGTTGCCAGTCGCTTGCCTGCCAGCCTGGCTGCAGCACTGCTTCGTGAAGTTTTGTAGGAGAACGTGGAGCATGATAAGATGACGCATGTGCTGCTGCAGTGCTGCTGCATATTGCCTTGCTACGGGATTTCAAGCGCAGTTTCGCTGCAGGCACAGCCGACCCTGATGCATCGAGTCCTTGTTGCGCTCTGGAGACTTGAAGAATGCGATCGAGCTATGGTAATGATTCAGTGCACCAAGGTCTTAGCTGGTCCAGCATGGCCATATTAGGCATTCAGACTGTGTTGGATGTGTTTGTACACTAGTGACCTGCTCAAGCAGACCGTCAAGGCAGGCTTGCTCCACAAGTTCTTTGCCCTGCGGCTGCAGGAGATCCGAGCTCCTGAGTGGTTGGGTACAGCAGAACCATGATGGGCTACCACAAAAGGCCGGCTTTCCTCAGAAACTCCTGAATGAGATCCATGGCTCATGGTCTCCTGGCTGCAATACGGGAACAGTAACCGTACCGGTATCAAGTCGGCGCTCTGCTCACCACAAGGCTTTATGAGTGGGGGCAGTTCCACCTCTTAAGGATTAAAAGGAAGCCTCCGCTCTTGTAACAGGGATGCCATAGGATGCCGGCCAATGCCGGCCACAGTGTATTCCGTTCGTACGTCAGGCATGTTGATCCCAACCGTCCAGCGCAAGCAGTAGCCGCAGCAGCAGCAGCATGATTGATGATAGGTGATGAATGACGATGACGTACGATGACCTTGCTGGCTGCATTCTCCAGCTTTCACGTTCGGGCTTTCTTGGGGAGGGACCTAGCTTTGACAGCCGATGTTTTTCGAGGGGTGGGTGAACTATTGCCGCCCGTATCCACCCGTGTTGAGAAGTAGGAAAATCTGTCGTCCCTACACCAGGATGTTGAACTGAATGGGGCGCTGAACATGTTTGAATTCACCAAACGGCGCCCTTTTTGTCACTCCTGCTGCCGCTGCAGGTACGATCCATCCAATCCCGTCATACCCATGAGTGGCGAGCTGCGTGCTGACCTATTCCAGGACTTGCTGCCTGGCCAGAATGGCCATGCGAAGCGGCATTTTTTCGGGGGGTTGCTTTGGGTGAGCCTCTTCGGCCAGAAATGGCTCGAGTATCTTATTGCTGTAGAAGGTTCCGAAATCATTGCACCAGAATGGTTTTGAGCCTCTGTGTGGGGTTTAGCTTCAGCTATATCTTGAACAACTGCTGTGGGATGTCTGCCGAACTGGCTCAGCGCCTGCATGCTAGGTTGGAGTGGGAGGCCAAGGCTGACACAGTGCTTGCCCTTGGTACCTCCCTGGCTGGCATGAATGCAGACCGTCTGGCCACTGCAGCTGCAGAGCGGCATCAAAAAAGCACCTGGCTGGCCATGCTTAAGGCCGATTTATCTGACATGCGCACGGAGAACATGTCTACATGGAAGTCTGATTCTTGCGGTAGTCTCCGCTAGGCTCCGGTTTCCCCGAGGTATCGCTGCCAAAGCATCGGAAAGTGCTGGTGGCGGACTGGTGATTTGCAGCCTCCAGCGTACTCAGCATCTTGGTGCAATGCTGGCCAGTTGCAGTTGAATTTTGCTACAGATTAGTGAGCTGCTTTGGAGACACTGCATGCGCAGTAGGTACGACCACTTGGTATCCATCCGCTTCTGGGCAAAGCTGGACATCCTGGCGAAGCTTATCTTGGAAGAGCTGAGCGATTTGGGTCCTCACAGTGTGCCGTCCGCGGGGCCCACCCGAGCATATTACCCTGTGGAAAGCTTTGTGAGCAACCGCAGTCTGCTCGAGGAGCGAACTGTAGCCAAGGAGAATGACATCTATTTGGTTCCTTACAGCCCATTTACTGGAGTTCGGCTGGAGAATCATGAGTCACTTCTCCCGAGCCAATTGACTCGCCTAGATTTGTCTGAAGATGCTGAGGTGAAGCTGATGCAAGGCCTTTATGCAGGCGACACCGGCGAGGTGGTTGGGAAACAGCTTGAAGGCCACTGGAAGATACGATTCCAGCATCCCTTGAAGCCAGGAGCAAATCTGAAGCGACCTTTCGAGCGCATACTGGGCACTTGGTGGGTGGCTTCAGCCATCATGGGAGAGGTGATTCAGATACCCGTGGTCAACGTTGCATGAACAGCCTGGATTTCTGCAAGACTCTTTCAGGCAACGGCTTCCAGGCTCCTGCAACTCCCGCAGCTGCGCACAGCTGGACGGAGACAAAATCATGAACACGCTGAAGCTGGCTGACTTGGACCCCTCCATGGCCAAAGCTCTTCAGGTCTCAGTGAGCAGGGTGCGGCCAGCGGCTACCCGTCTGTGCACCAGCAGGTCGCATGCAGCTGCAAGCATGAAAAAGGGCAGGTCTCCAGCTCTCCAGCACTTTTGCACAAGCTGCAGCAGGAAGTCATGAGACGTTTTGTAAGTTGGGGTATTAATCAGGGGTCCACATTAAGTAAGCAATGAAAAGCCAGGAAGGCGGGCAGCATTGGCTTCGGCTGCACGAGTCTTCAGGCTCCCCCTGCCAACGTTTACGAATATGATAGGAATATACCTGTCAGGGTCCTTACATTCTATGATATTCCTACTATATTCTTGGGGTTCCCTGTTTGGGGTTCCCATTAGAACATTCCTCTTTGCCAGAAATTGGAGGATTTTCTGTTCAAGCCGCCTAGAAGACTGCGGACATGTTGACACCTGGCCTGGTTGTACCAAGTTGAGGAGGAGCAGGAGCAAGAAAACATTTGCGGTGTACTGAGTACTGACGTCTGCCAACAGTGTTGCTGACTGCGTATGGCAGAGGTTGGGTTGTGCCATCATGTGCCGTGATGTGATCGTGAGGCGGCCTGGTCCTCCAAGAGGAAGCCGTCAGGCCGAGTGCGCTTCAGAGGCGCAATGTCCGCATAGCTGAGACCCATCTTCGCCCTGCCTTCAGGCCTTGCATGGATCAAGAGGGCCCTGACCTCGGCTCTTGCACCACAGCGTTCACAGCGGCGAACAGAAGCCAGGGTTCCAAGCTTGAGTCGAGTGAGGTTCCTTCTTCTACGGCGCGCTCTGCAAAGTGGCTGTCTCCTTGAACCAGTCGCCTGCATCTGCAGTGATGTGCTATTTGAGACTCGGCTGAGACAGTAGGCCTGTGCTGCATTAGGATGAGATGAAATCTGAGTAGAGCACGGAGGAAAGCCATCATGAACTGGAGGGTAGCATGGGTCAAAGACGGAGCCTGGAATGAACTAACCGCGCTCTGATAAGCATTTGCACTCAGCACGGTTGATGGTGAAGTAATGTGAAGTACACCGCCCAGGGCTCCGGAGCGTACATCCCTTGCACGCAGATTCAACGTCGTTCTTGAAGGGTTAGCTTCTGAGGATCTACCATCTGTGGCTTGCCAGAGTCTGTACATTTCTGGTGACCAGACTCGGGAGGTCAATCTCATGGCCGTAGGTGCCATGATGATCTGTTCCAAGGAACCCGGGTACCGTGCTGGAAGTTTCGGAGCGCGCCGTGGTGGATCCTTAGCAGCCCTGGTGATGCGCCCGTGTGCCGCATTCGGATGTATTTCAACTGGTGATAGTACAAGTCCCCAAATGTGACTTCCTGGCTTGATACGGTCCCAAAACTATTTTCTGCTCGATACCTTCACTTGCCTAGTGCCACTGCGCGGAGACAATGGTTGAACGTGCGAGGGATTACAGTATCGCAGCGGAACTTATGGCTGGAGTGGTTGGTGGGTTGGTTCATGATGATGTGCATGTGGGAGCGCCGGAAAGTACAATGAAGAAAGGCTGCCAGTATACAAACATCAGACTTCCGATGGAGGCGTGTCTTAAGTCTCTGTTTTGTTGATGCTCATTATCCCAATATTACCCCAATATACTGTAGTAGTTTCCATTTTCTTTTCCATTATCCCAATATAGCCCCAACATAATCCCTATATATACCCTATAACCCCTATATAATCCTATATAACCCTATATAACCCTATATAACCCTATATAACCCTTAGTAGTTTCCATTTTATTTTCCACTGAGCCCTGGGTGCTTTGCATCATAAGCTCGTTTTGACCGAGGCGAAGCCTCTTGGGTCTTTGAATCTTGAAGCTGGTAAGACACTGTCTTCGGTTCCGAGTTTAGTTTAGGGTTTAGGGTTTAGGGTTTAGGGTAGGGGATTCTTTGCAGGAAGCATTGGCGGTACTACCTTTGAGGAGGGTATATGCTCAAATTCACGTCCCCACGGCTTCCAATCATTGGCAGATCCATGACAAGCCATGGCTGCAAGAAAGGAATCCATGATGGCGGCATTCATGTACGCAGGAGTTGAGTTGGTAGTTTCCCAAAACCGGGGGACCCCCAAAATAGACCCCCCCAAAATACTATGAACCTGACTACGGGGACGCCCAAATAGGTACCGGTACCCCTAATTCTTGGAAGCCCCACCCATTTTTTCAAAGGTGCAAGGATTGCTCGGCAGATTCATTAGCAAAACCCTAAACCCTAAACCCTAATCCCCAAACTCTAAGTAGTAGTTTCCATTTTCTTTTCCATTAGAACCCCAATATTATGCCCCTATATAATCCCTTATATAAAGCCCTAAATGGCAAGCCTAAGGATGGTGTTCTCCGACTGCGCATCGCGCGAGACTCCCAACGTGGAGGGGCTGGTGGATGGGCTTTTCAGCTGCAAAGCCAGGCAGACCTCCTTATACGAGGGTTTCCCAAAATTATGGGTATGTTTTGGTGGGCCCCCCAAATAAGACTACAGTATTTTGGGGTCTATGTCGGGGTCCCCCTGTTTAGGGAAACTACCATATCTTGTAATGCCTTACAGAAACGGTACAAGTTGGCCTGCTAGCTACACCTGTCTAGTCGTGAGAACTTGGAAGCACCTATGCGGCCGTGTCGGACGTCGTCACTTCAAAGTTTAAAGCCAGCAAGCAGGCAAGTCACAACAGCTGCGCGTCTTTTTCCAGAGATATTTGGCCATTGCATCCGGATATTTTCGTCCTTATGTTGCAACGTGGGGAAAGCATAGACGTTCAGGACAAGCTTGCGTGGCCTGAAAAGCTGACTAAATGAGCTAAAGTCTAACCTCCTTAAAGGGGGTTATATAGGGGAGTACTATAGGGGTTATTAAGGGGGATACTAGGAGCTTAGACTATAGCTCAAATAGGCTTGAGCACAGGGGCCATCATTCGAACAGCAATTGCTGCGCCACGTTTGCCGCGGGCATGGGCCAGGAATTAGAAAAGACGTCGCCGAAGGCAGATACTACAAAGTTTCTGTAGCTTTAAGTATAGCGGCATGCATTCAGGACCATGTGTTGACCCACAATCTCCGTGAGGTTTCTGAGTTTAAGCGCCCGGTCTTCGACCCCCGCCTGGGTGGGGCAGTGCAGCTCTTGAGGCTCAGGACAGGACATTCAAGCCTCATGCAGTCGCTAAATATACTTTTTTTGTTAGTCCATATAAAATCCCAAATATAACCCTATATAGCCCTATAGAACCCTCTACAACACTGTATAACCCTATAGACCCCCATTTCTAGCCTAAATAACGCTAACATAACCCCTATATAAAGATTAATCTGCAAGCCTTGCCAGGGGTCCACCAAGAAGCTTGGGCAAGAAGGGGCCATGTACCTTGGCTGCAGCAGCTGGTTATCTTTAAAGGGAGTTTAGGGTTTAGGGTTATATGGGGATAATGGAAAAGAGAAAGGAAGCTGCTATGGAGGGTTTTGGGTTTGGAGTTAGGGGTTATGTAGGGTTCATACAGGGGTTATAAAGGGGTTGCGTAGGGCTTATAAAGGGGTTGTATAGGATTTTTATAGGGTTGTACAGGGGTTGTATAAGGGTTATATACTACAAGGTTCCTGAAAATAGTT